ATGGTATGGCCAGGCAATGTCTTGGTAGGACTGTGGAGCAGAGGATGGAAGAGTATGATAAGGCTCGTGCTCGAATATTCAGCAGACATGGGAGTACTGTATTGTTCAATGCCTTCCCTGAGGAGAAAGATATATTGGCAAATGGAGATGGAGGAGAAGGGTGTAGAGTGAATGAAGTTGAGAAGTATACGAGTATCAAAGATGCTGGGAGTGGGGCTACTTCTCGGGTTGCCATTTTAAGAGATAGGGAAAAGGATCTTAGTGACCCGGATTATGATCGGAGCTATGGAAGGTAAGGCAAACTTGGACTTTGTATGTGGAATTCGAGATGTTTTTCGATGATGTACGCATATGCAGCTAGGCCATCGTGCCATCGTGCCATTCTTATGGAGTGTATTATATCCGTTTTTTGTAGTATTATCTGAATGCTCGAGTGTTTAAATGCATACTAATCAGAACCTATTCCTTCGTTTGTAGGTATATTAGGAGTCTTCCAATTAATCCGACTCCGATCATGAATTTTGCTCCTTTTACCGTGCAAAGCATCCCGCCTTCATTTACTGGTTACCATGTACCTCCGAACGAGGTTTTGTTGGGCTATGTTTCTCCTTCACCTATCAAGACTGCAGGATTGAATCAGATATCTAGAACCATGGCCAATGTGCCTTGGCCATATGCAGGGATGCTGCACGCTCATCCTACTTTCCGGGTACGCATACGATCTTTACACTATACAAGTTCTGCTTTATCTAATAAAAAATAGAGTAGCTAGCAAAAGGATTATACAAAGGACGTGTGAACTTCAACTAAGTCGATCACTTCGACCTCCACCCGATTCTTTACCTTTCCTTAGAAGAATGTTCTGGAGCTTCACTCGATTCTTGTACTCGATAGAACTTCTCTGAGTACATTTACCTCAAGATCTTTCCCTTCGTGCTTCGAATATGGCTATAGAACTGTTAGAATGGTGTCTCCTTTGCTTTTTTAACCAAAAAGATAGAAGTAGGACTTGAAATTATTCCTTCTCACCAATGCTTCTATGACAGCAATGGAAAAATAGATGTTCAACCATTTTTTTCTGCCCCCCGACGTCAAACGTGCTAATTCAGTTGAAACGAAGTATCGGGCATGGGGCGTCTCTTTGAATTGATACGACAATGTCTTGAAGTCTTGAAGCTACTTATTTGTCATCAAAACTCCCTCATTTGCTCATGTTTGACTCTCCTAACACACTTGAATAAGAAAGCCCATTAGAACAACAAAATAGTGTTTTGGTTGATATTTGTTCTTAGAACCGCTCTCTCTATTTCAGGGTCAGTTGATTAACTTGTTTTATTCTCTCTGTTCTAAGGTCGATTCATTAGAATCATTACCTTCTACTCGAATACGTGTTCTACACTCCTTCTTCTAGGGTCGATTCATTAGGGTTATCACCTTCTATATGAATACTTGTTCTATATCTTTAGTCGAGAAATATCGTGTGAATTGAGCTTATACAAACCCGAAACCCGAAACCTCATTTGATTTTAGTTTTCCGTCCATTTGTGAAATTACTTTGGGTTGATTTACTTCTGGTGTTATTGCAGGCTCCATTGTACCAACAGGCTTTGAGGTCAGACTATGTGCAATACCATTGATTAAAACTGATTTTACTTAGCTAATCATATTATATATACTCACTATGTTGCTTCCGAACCTCCAATTATAATCCATTATTTTAAATTAAAACCTTTTATTTATACTTACCATTCTTTTTAATGTTCATGATTCAGTGTCTTTCTTGATGAATGATTATTGGAAAATTATTATTTAAAAATGAGCGAATTATTTTTTTTAGTTTAAAGATATTATTACGAAAAATACGATTCCAAAGTGTATGAGAAATTTTGGATATTTTTTCCTCAATTTTAATTTATCATACAAATTGATAATAAATAAACTGCATCCAAAAGATTTAGGTATTTGAGAAATAAATGGTCTAGCCTCTACTATAAATACCCATCCGCCCTTATCAAGGTTTTCATCTCAAGACAAAATAGTGCTACTGAAAGAATGAATAGAACGTTGAATGAGCTGGCAAAGAGCATGAGGATTCATTTTGAACCACTAAAAATAATGTGTTGATTCTGTGAACATAGCAACAAATTTGATCAATAGAGGGTCGTCAGTACTCTTTGAGTTCAAATTTTCAGAAGAAGTATGGACATGAATAGAACTCAAGCACTCTCACTTGAGAACTTTCGGTTGTACATGTATTTTTCACGTTGATTCAGAGAAGAGAGACAAGCTTAATGCTAAGGCTGTGAAGTGTTACTTCATAGGCTATGACTTTGACATGTTCGAGTACAGGTTTTGGGATGATAAGAATAGAAAAATCTTAAGACATTGTGATGTGACCTTTGATTAAAATGTCTTGTACGAGTTGCAGAAAAATTCACTTAGTGATGTTGTATCAGATGCTCAAGAAACTTCTAAGACGGTTGCTAATGAACCAGAAGTGGAACAAGTGACACCTAAACAGTTGTTGAAAAAATCATCCAAAGCTGTAAGAGTACCCGATAACTATGTAGCTTCATTACACTATTTTTTTTTAACTAATGAAGGAGAACCAGAGTTCTTTGATAAGGCCCTACAGTTGGAGGGTACAACCGAGTGGGAGCAAGCCATGGATGATAGGATGTCTAGTTTTCAAAAATGCATTGCTCTTTCATCTATTGAGGTTGAGTACGTGGCAATAGCTTAAGCTAGAAAGGAGATGATATGGATAACAAAATATTTAGAAGAATTGGGTAAGTAGCAGCACAAGAAGATTCTTTATACAGATAGTCAGAGTGCATACAGTTGGAAAAGAACACAGTCTATCATACAAAGACAAAACACAGAAGGCAATACCATTTCACTCGTAGGTCGGTGAAAGATGGTGATGTGTTTGGAGAAGATAGATGGTGCAAAAAATCCAATAAACATGTTGATGCTGAAACATTGAGGTGGTGCAAAGCCTCAATTCTTATGGTGCAGTAAAAATGATAGTCGTTTGAGAATGAAATTTTTTTGTTGCCTGGATGTCTCGAAGGGTAGAATTGTTGGACTACAAGTCTACTGACCGTTTATAACTTGGAAAATGGTTATATATAGTAAAGGAATCTTTATAGTAAAAATTTGGTGATAGTAAATTAAAATCATATATATGGATTTATGCATTATCAATATTCTCTCTTATTATACGTTCCTGAAGTTATTAATATAAACTTTTAGTAGGTGATCCTTTACTTAAAATTTTAAGTTACAATTAGCTAGTGATCATTATAGCATTGATAGGCATGATAGTTACCGTCTTTTAGTTGACTTTGGGTTAATTTATGGTTTATTTTTAAGGTTATAAACCGTGTTCATGTTATTTCTTTAGCATTAAAACTTTGGATATTAAAATGAAATTGCATAGTATGCTTAAGCCATGAACTTGTTTTCTTGCATTTTTGCGTTAGATAATTTGCATGCTAGAGTCATTCGAGTAGTCTTGATTAAGCTATTTTGATCGGAATCACAAGTTTAGAAACTAAACCTACTTTCTATTACTCAAACATGTTTTTATGTGAATTTACCAAGTTTTAAATATAATATGTTTGTTTTATGGGAACTCTAAACTTATTTAAAATTTTTCATTTTGAATTTGGTTTTCAAATCCGCTCCTTTTATATTTATTTATAAGTAACATCTCTTTCGTTGATTTGAAAGGTATGTCGTTACAAAGTAGATAACAAAGACAAAGAAACTCATAAATAGAAACAACATTTATAATTATAATTTTTATTAAAAAAAATGTCTTGCGTGCATTTCATTTTTACATTGCGTCAAAGTCACGGTTTATAAGTACGTTACATCAAATCACGCCACACATTTGACTAACAATTTTAAACACTAAGAACCTATTAGAACGCGAAGTTCAAAATTTTAAAAATTCGATTAAAACATTTTAATAAAGATTAGTACTTAGACGAACCTAAACCACTAATTCGACTCGAAACTAAAAAGATGGGTTAGGCATAGAATCTAGAAATAGAATCTTTCACAACCAAAAAAGAGAGAACTAGTTCATCACCAAACAAGATAAAAAGAATAAAAGGAATAAAACCATTAAAAAGATATTGAATTTGATGTGCCATTAAAAGAGAATGAGGGAAAGCCAATCAGATTCTTATCCAATTTAAAAGGTGAGTGAAAAATTATCCTTTAAAACCACTTTTAATTATAATATTAATCAAAATAAAGTTATTTTACTCGAAATATGACATTTTAGCTCTCTCAGAAACTGTTCTAATTGTTCCTTAAGTGAAAAAATGATGAGAAAAATAAAAGATGATGACTTTTAAATGATCGAGCATGTAAGAAGTTGGTGATATGAACTAAGATGAATCATGTAAGATTAACTTGAAGGAATATGTGAAGAAAATGTTGTTTAAACTATCCTAAGGTGTTCGAATTCATATCATATTTAAAAAGAACCAAGCTTTTATTTTTTATTGAATGGTTACAAACTTTGAGTGGATAATAATATGGTGTTTGTTTAATGTATTTTAAGATTACATTTATACTGTGGCTAATTATGGTCATAAAAGAGTAGAACTCTTAAAATAACCGATGAAAAGTTAAGAGTTTTCATTTTGAGGCTATAAAAAGCCTTAAAAAGTATAGTAAAAAGAGCATTTTCGCTGTTCTTTAATCTGATATCTTCAAGCAAAAAACGCTTCAACTTTACCCAACAATGAATTACTTCAAATGGATATCTAATTGTAAACAAATAGCAGCAAAGTTTACTAAGAATACACCAACATTCTAATCAACTCAGAATTGTTAAAAGATATTCACATATTATGAGTTCTTTCCACTTTTATAATATACAAGTGAGGGATACAAGTGAGGGATACTATCTCCGCACAAAACGGAGCTAAGGATGTATCACATGCCCGCATCATTACCCGTCGTCCCTCGAGCTTCAAAAAATAAGACTCGGCTGGTTCCAACCTGATTACACAAGAAGCAGCAGGTTCTTGGATTATGAACCTGAGCTTGACATCAGAACAACTGCAAACAGAAAAATCTAAGGGCATTATGAATGGTTCGAGCGATGATTATCGGATATGATAGAACAGAAGTCTCATGTACTTGACAGACACAAGATGAACTCCCTATGTCCCTCTATTTACCACCATTATAGGGATGGGCCACTCTACCTATTTGAACTTCTGGATTTGGTCATGCGTTTCATATTATAATGACAGCCAAACCAACTAAACAGATAAGGACATTAGAAAGAAATATATAGAAACAAGAACTAACATAACATTATCCGGAGTTTCAGATCAAACCCATAACATTTAAACCAATTTCCACAAGAATTAGAACAGAACAGGAAGAACAAAAAGCTCAATCATCCCCAGTAGGAAATAAGGTGAGGACTTTTCTTCCACCACTGGCATTGCCTGATTCCAAATCCTCAATGTAATTAGGAAGTGAATTATGCACTGGTGCCCCCATTCTATGGATAGGTTGGGACTGTCTACCTAAAAATGGATGCTCAAATTGGCCGTTTGATGGTGACCCAAACTGCCCACGGTGATAGGGGGGCTGGAGCTGAGGGTGGGCGACGGCAGATGCTGCGGCCATCTGCTGCAGGTGGTGGTGGTGTTGCTGCAGAGTGGCCATGGGAACAAAGGGCATGAAGTGGTCTGAACTAGCACGAGCAGAGTGAAGCAAATGGGGTGGAACAGGGGAGCTAGCGAACAAATGGTCGGTGGCGGGATCAGAGGAAGCAACCAAGCCAGCTGCGGCGCCGCCGCCGCCACCACTGGATAAACCCTGCATACGCTTGAGATAGAGGCGGTACTTCTGCAAATGGCTAGCTACGTTCTCTCTGGTTAAGCCATCAACACTCATGAGCTGCATTATGGTCTTAGGGACAGCATTTTTTATCCCCAAATGGGCAACAGCGTCAACGAATCGCTTGTGGAGCTGTGGAGTCCAGACTAGGCGTGGCCGCTTGAGGGTCCGGGCTGGTTCGTCGCTGCCGGCGCCGGAGCCTAAATCGGCGGAATCGCCGAAATCCCCCGAGTTGGGCAGCGGAATTCCGTTGCCGGAGCCGGGTAGGGGATTCGAAAGCGGCGGAGATGGGCAAGGCAACGGCGGACTGCAATTGGTGGGATTTTGAATATCGAAAGCTAAAGCTAGATCGGGGGTTATTAGGGTTTGAGAAAGAGGCATGAGTTCATCTGGAGATGGAAGCTCCTCTTCCCATCTCGAGAACCAATTCGAATGTTCTTCCCTCATTCTTCCCCAAATCTAGGCCCGACCCAGTTCACAGTTCAAAGACCCTCTTCAAGAACACCACGAAAAAACAGCAAAAATTGAAGAAACCAAAGAGAACCCAAGTCAATTAACTGGATTAGCAACAGTAATCAACCAAAATAAACAAAACCCAGAAACAAAAATCACCCGAATCGGAAGAACAGATAGAAACAGAGAAAAACAGAGAAAAAGGGGAGATGGGGAAGGATGATTATGAAGATTAAGATGAAAGGGATGAAGAAGAGGCGATGATTATGAAGGGGGTGGCCAAAAAGGTTGAAGACGAAGAGAGGTTCGAGGTGGATCTTGTTTTCTTGTAGCTTTAATTTTCGCTCTCTCTCTCATTCTCATAGTTTTTCTCTCACTATGGACCGGGGGAGGCGTGGAGGTACTGTTGCTGATGCTCTCTTGGCCCTCGTCCTTTTTTCTCCTACTTGTTTGTTTGTTTGTTTCTTATGATTTTTTTTTTAATTTAATTTAATTTAATTTTGTTATATTTTATTTTGTGAAGAGAATTATTTTCCAGGATTTATGGGTCTCATTAATAATACCTGAAAGTGAGTGTTGTAAAGATCGATAAGATTTTGTTCCCCATCATCAATTCTCTAGTGCGTGTCACACACGCTCCATTTGAAAAAAAAAAAAAAAAAAAAAACTAAATATCAATTTAATCTCTTAGTAATTAATAATTATATATACGTGGTGCGCCGAAAAAACAAATGTACTCACAACACCAATGAACGGAATTACACAAAGAGACACCAAGATATTTACGTGGTTCGGAGAGAAGAAGTTTCCCTACATCCACAGGTAGCAACCCATCACTAATAAACAAAGTGTTACGAGTGAGTACCTCACTATCACACTATATAGACTCTCATCAATATGTCACTTAAGAAATACAATGTGACCCTCAAAATTCTCCCAAATCCCGATATCAAATTCCGATATATAACTAAACCCTGGTATGACTAAATCTAATTCAAATAACCAAATCAAATCTAATCCAAATAACCAAATCAAATCAAAACTTGTGACAATTTACAACAGTATCAATGCATACATCATGATATGATATGTACTCCTTTCTTTCTCTTGATTTTTTTGTAACATGAGTGTGCGCTAACTTGTAGTTAGGCTTACGGGTAGGTATACAAGCTCGTCTAGTGGGTTCATGTGTGAACTGTGCATGCAGAAGTATTATGCATCTAACCCTAACAAGAAAAGAAAGTAGAACACAGTGAATAGTCATGTGATTTCATTTTTCAACCTCAACCATGAGGTCACTTACCGAGTATTTTTTAAAACTTAAATCACATTTAACATTTTTTTCTAAGCAAAATGCAATTTTTAAGATGTTATTACTAATAGTAGTATTGTTTTAAGGAAGTATTGTTTATTTTTCATACTAGTAGTCATGACATGCATATAATAGCGACCTATTTTAAAAAGAAAAGGTAGGATTGTTACAATTGGTACCAGAGTTCTAGGCTTATAGATTTTATAGACTAACCTACCATGCAAACTTAAAATATTTTTAAAGTTGTGCAACGAATACTTTGTTATTGTAAGGTATGCCGTGTGAAAAATAGCTAATGATGTTGCTATGTTATGTTATGTTTTATCATGCATCAGATGTGAGTGTTTTATAATGTATTAGATGATTTGAAACATGTTAGATTTAATGTATTGGTGAGAAATTAAATACCAAAAGATTTTATTAGGAGTTTTTGAAGTTTAATTTTTAAAATGGGTAGAAAAGTAAAATTTTTTAAAAAATCTCATAAACTCAAAGGAAAAAAAAAAAAGTCAAGTCAAAGTCAACTAAAGGGTAAAATAGTCATTTTGACCCGTTTTATTAGGGGTCCACATTCGTTCCAAAGAGAATGTTAATCATGAAGAAAAGGAAAGAAAGAAGGAAAAGGAAAAGTGGAGATGAAAGTTAAAGGTTTTTGAGAGAGAGACGTAGAGAGAGAAATTGAAATTCGCTCTAAAGACCGATCGAAATCTGAATACTCATTAGAGATCTTTTCACAAGAAATGCTTGGTGGCTTTGGAAGAACTAATATGAATTTTGAATGGTCTAAATTCACAAAGAAATGATAAAGCTTGAGAGGTAAGAATTTTGAGTTCTTATTCTAGGTTTTTCCTCATATCCGCCTGTTTACTTGGATGACATAGGTTCTCAATTTTTAGTAGGTTAGATATATAATCACATGCAAAACAGTTTATACATTTACATCACTTTAGGTTCTTTTCCGTTTCAAGCAAAGTTGGATGTATGATATAATTACATGCAATATGATCTTATCCTTACATAAAAACATCCTGACATGACCTTAGGTTTCGCTTTTTAGTTCGAGTAGGGTTGTATGTGCAGTACTCCCCTATACACAACCCATACATGCACACATAAACCCACCAGGCAGGCTTGTTATATGTACTCTGGGCCTAGCACATCAAGCTAGCAGACACCCATGCTACCTGACACCATGGAGGGAAAAGACCCACATAGATATCGCTATGTATAAAATGTTAGGTTAAATATGAATTTTATGTTCCTGGATAATTTAACCAATCTAAAATTTTAAATATAAAGTTACTTTGGTTATTGAATTTTTATGTAAGTTTATGTCACTTTTATTGAGTTCTTTAACTTTAGGATTCTTTTTTTACTGTTTAAGTAGTTGTTTAAGTGGTTGAGGTGCCATTTTCTTTTCATTGAGTTCACTTGATTGAGTCACTTCATGCTTGCTCACTCTACCACCCAATTAAAGATTTTTTTTTAAAAAAAACGGCGAAAGTCACCTAAAACAAATAGGTCATTTTGCCCCTCGGCCCATTATTAGAGTTTCAGTACCATGACAGATTATGGCAAAAGGGAAAAACAAAGAGGGAGAGAGTTGAGAGAACCTAGAGAGAGGAGGAAGAAAGAACTGTTACCGGACGTCGCCTCTAGCCATGATATTGAGGCAAGAACTCCTCCTAAGAAGGAAGAAGGAGATTTGAGTGACTGAAGCTTCATTTTCCATCCTCCCAGCCACGATATTGAGGCTCACTCCTCCTAAGAAAGAAGAAGGAGATTTGAGTGATCGAAGCTTCATTTTCCGTCAAGAATTGAGAAGATCCGCAAGGTGTAATCTTTAACGATTTTACCTCAGATCCGAGTCATTTCTTACGAGTTAAGAAGGCCTAATATTTTGATATGTTCTTCTAGGAAGTATTCTTCACAGATTTTGTGAAGGAACTTATTGTTCTTGTGAGCTCTGCCTAGTTGTGTAGTTCCTGACTTCTTACATTGTCACCATTTTTGTATCCACATTTGGTTTGTGCTTATTCTTCAAACTCTAGAGTGCCTTGAGCGGCCCAATCCTTCAACAACAACTTCTATATTCTGGTGACCATTTTAAACTACAACGTGAACACATAAGACAAAACTCAGTTAAAGATTATACCTTGCGGAATAAGCCTTTTAAACACAAAACTGGAGTCACAGACTACCCACGAGACAAAAGAGACAGATCAACACAAATTTTAAACTACAAACGTGAACCCATAAGACAAAACTCATAGGACACATATATTATATTCAACTGAGAATGATATTGATATTATATTATGTTAGCAATTTTCTAACAACACATAATCTTGGTGACATAAGATTGTTGATTACAACAACAAAAAAAAATTCATACTCAACTGCTTTTAGGGAACAAAAAGCCAGCCTCCACCAAAAATCAACAAAAATTCAATTCTTTTCAACCAAATGTTTCATCAATGACCATTAGGAGGCACCACCAAGGGAGCTTTGGGTGGCTGAAGTAACGCCACCGCTCCCCTCTCGGAGCTGGAGTATTTTCTGTATATTACTTGAAGCTTGTTCTTGCTTGCTGCTCCATGGAATCCCACCAAATGCTTTGCACAATCACTGTGGTTCACATATAACAACAACAACACAATTAGTTTGACGCCTTATAATCAATCACACAGCAAACACACACACAATCTTTTCAATTCACGTACATTAGTTGAGGCTCTGTGAAGCCAGTGTGCAGTTTGAGGGTCTCGTCCCAACCAGGGGCTTTCTTCAGCGTGCATCGAGCGGCGTAGACTGCCGAGGCGGCAATCATTGATGGGCTGTACATTATTGAGGTGTTGTAATGCATTATACCAAGTTCTGCCAGAAAATATACCAGATTTTCCATCTGCACCAAGTTTCATGTTCATATATACTCAGTTTTATATTTGTAAAGCAAGGAAGGGATCAAGCATTCATTCATTCATTCATTGTTACGCACCTCGTGATCGGAGTCCTTCGACGCCTTGATGAATCGAGCGAGGAAAACATAGGGAGTAGGCAAAGTCATGGTCCATTCAAGCTTCCCAAGTATCCTTTTCTCCATCATTAGTATCTGTTCATTCGTGTACGCTCTATCGGAAAGGCACACGAAGTCATTTACCTGCAAAAAAGATGCCATGTTATGTTAGGACACCCACCTCTAGTAGTTATTGCTCCTAACAAATGTCGAATTTTACGCATACCTCTGGTGCCCAGATCTCCTCGTATTTGGAGGCTATGAGCATTGCCCCAATACCCAACAACTGCAATTCCCTTCTTGGAACTGCCTTCCTCGCAAGGAAGCGATCAATTATGTTGATGGTGAGGTAGAATGTTTCAGGGGAAAGCTCGAACTTGTTGTGGACATCAACTAACCAATCCACCAATATTGCTCTCATTGAAGTGTTTATCTCCGGTTGTGAGTCCATATAGTCATGAGGCCTACTCTCATGCTTCAAACAAACAGAGACTCATCGGTGAAATTATATTGGAGGGGCCGACTCGTATGAACCAAAAATGAATACAATAATGCATACCTCAACTTCCTTATAGAACTTATAAATGTCCTCAACATATTCCACTTCTGCCAACTCATTTCCAACATCTGCTGCGTCAATGTCAAATATCTGTTCCTTTGGTTTCTTGGTTACTCCACAAGCAGCCTAAATGAAACAAGTGATCCAATTATTAAGAGAACCACAACCAACTACGACTTTCAATGTCAAAAATTGTACCTTGCTTCTAGCTGTCAGGACTGCGGTGAGAGTCTGTGCCTTCTTCTTTGAGACCCCTTCTTCCTTTTTCTTGTTACCACATTTGACTTCCTTGCCCCGATCTTGTTCTTCCTTATCCGGGCTTATCTCGATCACCTCCGCTTTCGGTTTGGAAACAACCTTCTTTGTTGCTGCTTTGGGAGCTCCTGGTTTCTTAACGGCCACAACACCACCATCAAGAATGGGAGCAGCCCCATCTACTTTAACAGGCACTTGTTTCTGCATTACCAAAGAAAACCAAAGATTAGCCTTTGCGGAGACCATATTATCACAAAATCGGATGAATTATATATAGGAGGAGACCATATTATTTTCAGCTTTTG